CGCCCCACTCCCGCCCTGCACCCCGGCACCTGCTTCCTCCTCCTGCCGCGTCCCGAGGCCCCTGCTGGGTGCGGCCTGTCCAGCCAGGTCCTGGCTCTCCCTCTCCGCTCCGCTCCCACGGGCTCCTCCTGCCCGGCTGCCCCTGACCGGGGCGCCCCTCGCGCCCCCTGGGCCTTTCTCTTCCGGTTATTTTTTTTTTTTCAAACAAAACACCCCCAGCAGCTCCCCCCAGCACCTCTGCTCACGGCCAGCCTCTGCCTCTTGACCCCTGGGCCCACTCCTGCCCCGCCTGCCCTCCTGGCCGGCCTCGCGGCCCAGAGCCCACGGCCCCTCCTGCCCCCTTGCCACGCCGGGCCGGGCCGGGCTGTGCTGGCCATGGCCTTGGGCCTCCTCCCCCTACGCGCCTGCGTGGGGACAAGGCTGGAGTCTCGCAGCCCCCGTGTCCAGCGCCGCCTGGGGATGGACTTCTCCAGGGGGTGTTCAAAGTGCTCCCGCCCTTCAGCCCAAGGAAACCCACAAGTCCACGGGGGGCAGCTGGCTCCCCACATGCTCAGCCCAGGTCCCAGGAGCCCTAGAACCCTGAGGCGGGGCGCGCGGGTGCCAGCTGACCTCTCGGGCGCAGTTAGCGCGCTCTCTGCTGCCCCCGTGTGGTCAGTCTGACCGCTGAGGCCCTGTGGTGGCTGTTTCAACACGCGGCGAAACACGTGACCGGGCTCCCGTCCATCACCATCGCGTGCCGCGCGCTGGCCGCGGCACATCTACTTCTAGTGGCCACCAGCGCCCCTACCTCCAGGACGCCCTCACGCCCCCACCTGGACCCTTCTTGGCCGGGCTGCAGGTCCCGCCTCCTGTCCCTTTGGGGTTGACCCCGCCCGCGCCCCGTGAGTGGGCATCAGACGTGTCCTGCCTGGCGTCGTCCTAGCGGCTGAGGCTGCGCCGGCCAGAGTCCCCATCCGCGGGATCTGTGTGACCGCCCCAGCCCTTGTCCTGGAGTGGACACTGGGTTTGCGGCTGTGGACCCACCGCCCAGCCGGCGGACGGCGCAGGTGCTGCGGGGCTCGGCGGCGCCTCCACAGCGCCCCCCACCGCTCCGCCCTCCCCTCTTCTCCCAAGGCTGGGCAGGAGCTGGGCTCTCTGGGTGCCTGCGCGCGGGCGTGGGGGAGGGGAGGAGCTGGGCACCCGGAGGGGCAGGGCGGAGCCGCGGGCTGCCCAGAGGGGGGCCGCCGGGCTCCACCGCTTCAGGCGCGGGGGGCTTTGAATGCAGCCCTGGAGCCCCGAGCGTCGCCCGCTGCAGTCTTGGGGACCTCCCCCCAAAGCAGAGGCATCTGTGCCCAGCTGATGCTGCACCTGGTCACAGCCACCTTGCTGCCCCCGCAGGCCCCGCGCTCCCCTGGGGTCCCTCTGCCCGCCCGTGGGCCTCCCCGGGGTTAAAGCTCCGCCCTGGAAGCAGCCCTGTCCGTCTGCCCAGCCACTGCCGGAGTTCCACCCCGGCCAGGGGTGACCCCTGGGGCGCAGCTGACCTGTCTCCTGCTGCCTCTCAGCAGTGGATTTCGGTTTGCAAATATAAATGACTCACAGGCACCCCTTCTCACACGATAACCCACGGCTGCGCTGTTTTCCAAAGATGTATTTATTCATCCACGCAAGAACTGGGGTACAGGCCAGAGGCGCGGGGGGTGAGAGGACGCCCCAGAGACAGGGTGGGAGCAGAACAGGCGGATCAGCGAAGTACACTGCTGTGGGGGGCAGCGGGGAGACGGGAGGGGCCAGCTGTGCCCTGGGGTCCCTCCCTGGCCAGGACCCGACCTGTGCGTGCGTGGCACGGGCGGCTTCCCCCAGCCCCTTGTGCCCACAGAGGGCCTCTGCCCGCTTTCAGCCGGTGCTGGAGCAGAAATCTCCTGAGGTTGCAGAGTTGGTTCCAGGGTCCTAGAACCGAGGCCTTCCGCACAGACCCAGGAAGCCACAGGCGCTGGGGCCAGTCGGCGGCAGCCGGCACTCGGCTGTCCTGACTGATGCTGTGGTGACTGGTGCTGTGGTGACTG